TTGAAATCGGTTGAAATGCAGCGGAGTTATGCATTTTTAAGAGTTTTCACTTCAAAAAATGGAAACGTCGCACATCGGCAGCCGAAGGTGAAAAAACGGCTCGTGCTGGACACCTTACTGCTCTGTGTTATTATTTCAACGTAAATTGAACGTAAGGGACCCCTGGTTGGCGAATGATTCACCGATAAGACGCATTCACATTGCGCAAAAGCGCATGTGATCAACTTTGAGCGGTCATATCTCGGAAACCAAACGTTTCCCCGGGATGATCTTGTGCTCGTTAGAAAGGTGAGAACTTGAACTCTCACTTAGACTGGTTTTTGTTCAGATTCCGTCGATTCCACGACCGTGGTACAATAAAAACAATAAAAATTTTTGTGTCTGTCAAAAACTGCTAAAACCGCGCAAGTGCCCCTTAAAGTCAAGTAAACCCAGAAAACTATACACCATTAGAAAGCTCTATTTAAGAGGAACATTTTTAAAAAAAAGTTAATTGAAATCGGTTGAAGTGCAGCGGAGATATGAATTTTTAAAATTTTCCACTTTAAAAAATGGCAACGTCGCCACCCGGCGCTTTTAAGCAAAACGGCGACCGGTTTTGGACGACTCGAAAGATACTGTATCACCCCAATAAGTGTTCAAAATTCGAGAATGCCTTGAGGCATTTTTGGCCCTTTTTTCGCACACCTTTTTTTCTGAATTAAAGCGGCTGTGTATTATGCCATCAATATAAGTATATGTAATATATTTATTTTTATAAATATAATTTATTTTTTAATCAAAATTCGTCTATAAAATCGCGATTTTATTGCAATTTAATGCGATGAAATCGCAATTTATCGCGATTTTTTATGCGATAATATTGCAATAAATCGACGTCGATAAAATCGCGATACATTCTCCGATTAAATCGCAATTTATCGCGATCACTGCTACTTGGGAAGGGCCAGCGCCCGTGTGCGCCATACGCCCTGCATACTTCCTCTCTTCGGCCCTGAGAAGCGAGCCGTGAAGTCCCCAACAACCTCCTTTGATGCTTTTTTTTGCACCCTAGTCCACCTAAATGAGGTGTTCCTCTGAACCCTCAACAGAAATTTCTAGTTCCGCCCATGTCTTTGTTTATTTCCTTCTCAATGGGTCTGTTGCACTCGGGAGGGATTTGGAGTTCAATGAGCCATTCCTATGTAAATTTTCACGAGAAAACGGTTGGTGTGGTTAAAAACATTCTTAGTTTGATATTAAAGCTGCAAAAGCTAAATAAAGTTCAAAGTTCCAACGGAGGCCTCTCATTGGTCGTCTACGTCACAACCAGCAATCTTATTTCCCGCCGTTTCGACGCACCTGTGCTTCCCCATAAGGAATTCAAAGTCGTTTTTCTAAAACGAATTTTGGTCGATATTTAACTTATTTTACCAAATTTTCTTGCAGATATCAGTTCTTCACATCCTCTACTTTACATATTTATCAACGAATATGTTCAAATCGCATCATATTAAAGTTTAATACATGTACCCTGGTAGCACAGCTCGGATCGGTAAGGTTTTAGAAACATTCCACTTGTGTCGAAATGATTCATCTCGATGAAACATATTAGAAACATTTCAGAAATATTTCAATGACGCAAATACTTTGAACATTTCATTAAAACATATCCAAAACATTTTGAAAATGTTTTCAAATTGGATACATTTAACACAACAGAAATGTTTTGAAAACCAATCCAAAACATTTTACAAAAGAAAAATTTTGAGGGGAAATGAAATGTTTTAAAAACATTTTGAAGACAAAGTTGCGAGTCATGTAAAATATTTCATCAGAGACAACATGTTTTGAACACAGTTTAAAAATATTTTCATTTCATCTTACAGAAACGTGAAAACAATGTTTTTAAAATGTGTTCAAAATGTTTTCAAATTGTTCTACTATCACTTTTTAAAAACGTTTTCAACACATCTCCAACATGTTCTCAGATACTACTAATTTCGAAGTGTTTGGTGAAATGTTTTGGAAATATTCTGAAAATGTTTCGAATGAATCTACAGCTTGTTTCAAGCAACTTCTCAAAGTGCTGTCAGATACTTTTCCTGCACGACTCAACAACACCTCCCAGCAACCTATCTGACACATTTTAGATATGTTTTCAATTATTAATAAATATTACTGATTGGTGCGGTATATCTCCAACTCATTTTCAAAACGTTTTAATTCTCTTTCCGATCAGCATCCTCAATTCATTTCAAAACGTTTTGAATATAAATCGAACCAGTGTCGCTGAAGTTTTAGAAAAATGTTTTCAACACATCTCCAACACGTTCTCAGAAACTTCCTTCCAATTTCGAAGTGTTTGGTGAAATGTTTTCGAAATATTTTAAAAATGTTTCGAATGAATCTACAGCTTGTTTCAAGCAACTTCTCAAAGTGCTGTCAGATACTTTTCCTGCATGACTCAACAACACCTCCCAGCAACCTATCTGACACATTTTGGATTGGTTTTCAATTAAAAATAAATATAATGTCTTTGAAACCTTTTTGAATATTTTGTTCGAATTTATACGTCACTTAAAATTTTTTTGACACGTTTTAGAAATGTTTCATTGAATAACATAGAAACATTTCTAGGACCTTTCTAAAACTTTTCCTACCTAGTTCAAACTGAATCCACCAGAGGGCGTTGAAGTTTAATTTTTCAATTTTACCAAATTTCAGCTTAATTTTTCGTCTCAAGCTATACTTTTTGGACATTTAATTATGTGGAGGTTATTAACACGGTTAATTCCTTGTATGAATCGAGTTCATCTCCATAAAAGCTCAAAAGTTATGGATTATCTAGAATATTGAAACCGTACATCGTGCTTTGCGTATACTTCTCTAAAGTGAAGGTGTTCTAATCCCTCTGATAGGTTGATAATGATGAAGTGTAACGATTCAGCCCTCATGCAGGGTTGGTATCAAGGGATGCCTGCCGTGATGGTTCTAATTCCACAGCGACATTAGTTAAAACAAATATCTGAAAATTTTTGATACTTATAGCCTCGGTGCCGATACCTCACTGAGATGTGTTGAAAAGGTATGAGAGACATCTATCGGACGTATCTGTGAAACGAAATTTAGGGGTGACATAGAGTTGTTTTAGAAACCTTCTCAAAACCGTCGGGACACATGATATGTTTTCAAGATGTTTCAACAAACCACTGAAAGGTTTTGAAAACATTTTTGAAACGTTTCGACGAAACAAAGGAATGTCATGCCTCTCACCGAAATGTTTCAAGAATGTGTCAGATATATTTCTGCGACGAATTTGTGGTGCCGATACCTCACTGAGATGTGTTGTAAAGGTATGAGAAACATCTATCGGACGTATCTGTGAAACGAAATTTAGGGGTGACATAGAGTTGTTTTAGAAACCTTTTCAAAACCGTCTGGACACATGATATGTTTTCAAGATGTTTCATTGAAATGTTTTAAAGAAATTTTTTCGGATCAATGACTCATTTTAAAAACATCTTCAATCTGAGCTGTGCTACCAGGGTAAGGAAGTCCCGAAAGTGTGGTTATGTCTCCCTTTAGGGGGTTTTGCTGGTCAAGTTGATGCTGTTTGCTCAAATACATCAACACATGTATTAGATATATTGTGTAAAACCAAGTTTGTATTCATTATTTGACTCTTAATGATGACTTATTGTCCCAGTATTTCAGTGCAAATGATGTATGAGTGAGGTATTCCTGATCTGTCCTGCTTACTGCAACAGCTACCTTTCATTGGAAGTTTTAAAAATATGATGGAAACTATTGACTTAAATATTTACCCCCGATATCATACCTAAGTATATAGTTTTTGTATATACTCTTTGCATCATTAGTTGTAAGTAATTATTAAAATACCATACATTCATCCAAACAGGCACTGGATTAATCGGAAGGGTAATAACTCCTCAACCGGACGGGTGATTAAGGACCTCCAACAGTTCATAGCTGGTGCTTGGTTGGCAGAGAATCTTACCTTATGTAAAATTGATGGTATTTTCAACTAATTTACTTATTAGCAGACAGATTTAAACAAGTGAATATGTTCAAATGAGTACGTTGATCCCTCAGCTAGTCAGCTAGCGCAGCTGAGCAAGAAACATTTCATGCAAAAAAGTAGAATCTAATGATCCAATATCCAATGAATTAGATTCAGAAAGCTGCATCATGCCACGGCAGATAGTTCCTAGGAATAAGGAACCTAAAACTACATTATATGAGAGTTTTACCGTGAGAACAGGACTTATATGTATCCCAGATAAGATTGTAAACTTAACCTCACTTTCGTGACATGCTTTGATGCATCGGAAATAATTAAATCATCTGATGTGATTTGTAAGTTACTAGGGATGTTTTTATCAACTAGAGAGTATAAAGAGTCTATTATCGCAAGAAAATTTGATGAATACGGCCTCCAACAGTCTGATAATTCCTTTTGAAAATTTGCCTCTCGACCCCTTATGGGGAAATCCATGTATTTGTAAAATAAACAAACGTGGGGTATAAGTTGTGACGTCACAAAATGGCATCACTCTCCCGTCATTTGTAGTTTTAAATTTTCTCGCCAAAATTTTTTGAACTTTTGGGTGCTTTTTTGCGGTGTTTGGGGGGTCCAAAAATTCTGGGAAAAATTCATGAAGCTCAGAATGATGCACTTTATTAGAAAATGAATTAAAAAAAATAGGTGCAACAGACCCATTTGAGTGAGTCTTTGTTATGAGAAAATGTAAAAGAATGATAGCTATTTTGTTCCAGGTTCTGAACACAGTTTTTAAGTAAAATTTTTAAAGCATTTTCATCTTTCCAACAGATTCAGGAAACTATTCAAGATATGAAGGAATCTTATACAAAATTAAACGTTTGTCCATTTAAGAAAAAAACAGAAAGTGAATGCGATCTGAATGAACCAGGTAAGCGGTGAAATTTAATATAACACCTGAAAAAAATAATTAATATTATCTTGTAATAATAGCGAATCGACGAATAATGTGATTGAACTTCTTTTTTTACACTTGCATTCATAAGCAGGTGCATGAACGCTACACTACAGGGTGTCCCAAAAGTCCGTACCCCCCCCCCCCCCCCCCCCCCCCCCCCCCCCCCCCCCCCCCCCCCCCCCCCCCCCCCCCCCCCCCCCCCCCCCCCCCCCCCCCCCCCCCCCCCCCCCCCNGGGGGGGGGGGGGGGGCGCCAACTTTTTTTTCTAACAGTAACCCCTATCTTGTGATACATCATTAGAAAGAAAATAAGAAACTAAGAATTTTGGCGCAAATCGCAGATCAATTTCTGAATTTTTGACCGAGTTATGAAGAGTCAAAGGTCAAATTCGACCTATTTTCAAAAAATCATAACTCCGGTTCAAATTATCGTAAAGAAAAAAATAAAACAGGAAAATTTACCAAATTGTGTTCGCTTCTAAGTGAAAGTTGTAGAAATCACTTCGAACTAATTTTAAGGGTGGTTTCGGACCCCCAAATACGTCAGTTTAAAGGTCATACGGGTTCCCGCGATTTGAGCCAATTCCTCTTAACTTTGCCTCAACATTACCTTGGTAAGTTCAAAATTAGTTCAACATTGCGTTTTCAAGTCCCCAAATTTTGGGGAAAATTCAAAAAACGAAATTTTAGGTGATTCAATTCAACCGTGTAAATTTCCTTTTTTTAAAACTTTGCCCGAAATTTGGGGACTTGAAAACGCAATTTTGAACTAACTTTGAACTTACTAAGATAATGTTGAGGAAAAGTAAGGAGAAATTGGCTCATTTCGCGAGAGTATCGTATGACCTTTAAAATGACGTATTTGGGGATCCGAAACCCCCCTTAAAATTAGTTTGAAGTAATTTCTGTGATTTTTACTTGAAAGTGCTTACAATTTGGTAAATTTTCCCGTTTTATTTTTTTCTTTACGATAATTTGAACCGGAGATATGATTTTTTGAAAATAGGTCAAATTTGACCTTTAACCTATCATAACTGGGTCAAAAACTAAGATATTGATCTGCGGTTTGCACCAAAAGTCTTAGTTTTTAATGTTCTGTCGACCATTATAGAAATAAGTAATTATCAAGTTATAACTTTTATGTACCCTTTTTTTACATACATTAAGATAATTGTATATGTATATTTCCTCCTAGGAAGGTTACAATAAATAGACTCATTAAAAAAAAAAAAAGTTCTGTCTAATGATGTATCACAAGTTTGGGGTTACCATTTGGAAAAAAAGTTGCCCCCCCCCCCCTGAGGAAGGAACACAAATTTTGACCCCTCTAAAAGATGGTCCCCTTTAAGATAGAAACATTCCCTAAGTTTCGTTTTTATATCTCTAACCGTTTAATAGTTATGAGAGGGATACGGACTTTTGAGACACCGTGTATAATAGTAGTTGTAAGTACGTACAAACAGTGGATGCCGCGTTTACAAGTTTTGAGAAAATCGCGTTCAAAGTTATCATAGCTATGCGCGTCGATTTCTGTGCAACAAGTAGAGTTCGGTCCAGGAATTCATTATAGAACAAATCCTCCTCTAGAAGTGAACTTTAGAAATATAAACTTGGAGCAAATGTGAACCAGATACCAGATATAGTAATTTTAAAAGAAGACCACATGCGCCGTTTTTACGGAGAACTTTTTTCAAGGCATAAAAGGAGCTTCCTCGCTAATGTAAGAAAGGAAGAGCGATTGATGTTGATCAAATGAACTGTACTTTGCAATGAGGAACCACTAATTCTTGATCATCCATAAAATCATCTACCACTCAGTATGTGAGAACTTTTTACATATATGCTTATAAAAATGAGCTGGAAATAGCAGTTCCTTCTTTCAAATTGTAGTCGAAATTATGCTTATTGTTGAGTTTCTTAATCATTTTTCTACAGAAAATACACATTAGTAACTTAAAAAAGGAGATAACAATATTAGGTATCCTTTTAAAATAGGGGGAAAATTAAAAAGGGTGCCATGTCCCGACGATCTTTATGCAACAGGTCTTGTTCACTTTTATCACTATTGTAATTTGCTCATCTATGGTAGGATGGGGTATGGCTCCGCCACTTTTTTCCTCGAAATTTTTCCTGACTTTCTTAATTGATGGATGAGCTTGTTTGAATGCTACGAATGATTATTCGACCTTTGACTGTGTGCAAAAAAAATGGATACTAGCATTTTTCCCCCTCATTTAATTGAATTAAAAAAAAAAAAAAAAAAAAAAAAAAAAAAAAAAAAAAAAAACTGGACCCCACGCTTACGGTCAGTTCGTCACATGCCTAGGATCAGTCCGTCGGTTGCTAATGAAGACATGAGAGGTGCTGGGGGAAAAAAAAGACAATTGAATTTAGAAAAATGGAACAAAACAAATATATCTTGAGTCAGAACTTCAGTTAGTACAAAATATCCAATAACTTTCGGAACTAAAGGTTTATTTCAATGATCCAATAAATTTTAAGATTTTGAAAATTTATTTTCTTTTAAAAAAAATTAAAATTAAAAAGGAGTTGGTGGGTTAAAACTGACGCACCACCAGGTAAGACAAGTGTAGATGTTAAGTTACATGTAAGTTCCATGTAAAATATATGTAAGTCATATTCTCATATGTAAATTACATGCAAAAGCCACTGGTGGAATGACCCCCAGCGGTACTTGTGGACTCATCCCATTGTCACCACAAAATTGTCACCTAAAATAACAGAAATAAAGATTATTCAAAGAACAAAAATAAAATCAGTAGCCTAGAGGAGTAAATTAAGATGGTGTAACCTCCAAACTATCACGAACCGTAAATGTGAAGACGAAAAGTCCCAAACAAAAAAAAAAGAAGAAAAAAATTACGCTAGGGAGCAAAAATACTTGATACAAAAACGGTTTTTTCGCCCTCTCCCTATGGAGTTTCTTCAAACTTTGTCTATTGATCACTCATACTTGAGCGCTTCTTTTCTCTAATTTTTAGATCCCCCAAAAGAAATGTCTGTGAGNGGGGGGGGGGGGAAGCACTAGGGGGCGAAGAAGTCAAGTGAACCTCGATATTTCTCGAACGAAGAAAGAAGTTGACAAGTGCCAAGAACTGAGAGAAAAAAGTGTGCTACCTACTTATATCTATTTTTCTTGGCACTCTGATTCACCGTCGGAGAAAACATAAGCTTTTAACCATGTAAGATTATTTTTATGAATACCGTTGTGACACGTTTGTGGCCGTGGGGGAGGGGTTGGTCTTTGGATACTTAGCGGTATAGATCATTATCTTGATGAAACAAGATCAATTGCTATCCCTAAATTACAGACAGTGGGAGTTACAGTACCCACAAAAAATGGAGAAATTCACATCGTATCGATTTACAGCTCTCCTAGCGGAGGCGCTGTCACAGTTCCCAAGTAGCATGGATTGCAATTTCATTGCAATGGATTGTGAGTTGATTGCAATTTTTGCTTGTTGCCTATACGTTCATTTGAAGGCGCTTAAAAAGTTGCAATTTTATTGCAATAAGTTTGCAAGAAATGTAGATTATGCTTGTTGCCTAACCTTCTTTTTCAAGGTACTATAAAGACTGCAATTTCGGTGCAATCATGTTGTAACAAATTCACGCCATGTGCCTGGCATCCAATTCTCTAGTTGTTTTAAAGTTTTTTCGACTTAAATGTCTCACCTAACCCTTATAGCCCAACATATTTTGAAAATATTGTCACCTTTATCAAAATATTTTCATGGCAATATTGTAATTAAAATATTTTCAAAATATTTTTAAAACATTTTAAAGGAATATTTTGAAAATGATTACAAAAAATATTTTGAAAATGATTACAAAAAATATTTTTAAAATAATTCAAAAATATTGCCTGTAAACATGCATGTTAAAAATATTCCTTAAGAAAGTTTTGAAAATATTTTAAAAATATTTTTTGAAAATATTTTTAAGTTCTCAAGTTAGTATGTGGTGTAATTTACACCGGTGTAAATTTAGTGTGAGTACCTATTACGTGATATCGAAAAAAAAAATCAGACAAAAAAAATATGAAAAAAATAAATAACACGAAAAAAAATAAATAATAGGCAAAAGAAAGAAGCCTGAGAAAAACGGCGTTATTCAAATCTATGATGAATGTTGAGCCACGCACTGACGCAATGCATGCGATAACAGCCTTAAGAGGCGTGATTTCAACCCAACTCATCATCAGCTCCCTGTAGCTCAGTGGAAAAGTGCTCCGCTTAGAAATTCGCAGGTCGGGTTCAAGCCCACTCTAGGGCGTCCGGTATTTTATGCTGCTAAACGTCGTAGGACATTAGGTAAGCATGGGTTCGAATTATTATAATTTCCCCGGAAAATTTAGGGGTTGAAATTTAAAGGTCGTCAATATTGAAATTTCTTTGCAAAAAAAAAAATTGCAACTTTTTTACAATGAGGGGGTCAGATGTTGTAAAATAATTGCAATTTTCTTGCAAGAAAGTTGAAATCATCTGGAAATTTTATTGCATTTAAATTGCAATTTTTTCGTTGCAAAATGCTACTTGGGTTGATGAATTCAAAGAATTAATTGCGAAACTTGGCCTTCGTTTCATTTGGGGGAGGGGGCTTTAATGCAAAGCAATCACACTTTGGATTCAAAGGAAAAACGGCTAGAGATACTGACCTAGTTGAGGCTGTCCTGTTTACGGGATGTGACTTTTTAGCTGATAGCGTAGGAACATTCTACCTACCCCGCGAACCCAACTAAAACTCCCGATCGTATCGATTTTTTGTTCCCAAAAATATTTTAAGAAATTCTGTCCAAACTGGATCAGTCTCTGATCTTTTCTCGGACCACATGGCCATCACTCTAATCCTCTATGAAGAAATTCAGATCAATCGGGGGCCTCCTGTCTTTAACTAAAAACAAAATAACCGAATGGTCAAAATTCAAAAGAATCTTGAACAGGATCGCAATAAAACAGGATATAGAAACTAAGGAGGAACTTGAAAAACGAGTAAACCTCTTCACGAACACAGTACCTAAGGTATGCCGTTTTACTCAGCACCCCTCCTGCGAAGGCAGTTGAGGCTGACTTCAAACTTCCTTCGGAAATTCTGGAGGCGATTCCTGAGAGAAAAAGACTCAGAAACAAATGGAAATGATCTAGATATCCAAAGGACCGGGCAGCTTTTAACAGGGCCCTGCTAAAAATGAACATGTTGAGACCATGTTGGTATCAAGATGATGTCAACATAGTATCAACGTGATATCAACTTGGGGTAAAAGACCAACATGATACCAACATGCTAGCGATATGGTGAGTCCCCGCCAATATGATATAAACATGATTAAAAAAAATTGTTGTTAACAACATTGCACAAATATGGTAACATGATGATATCTTTTTGGACTTTCTTACCATCATGATAAAGAGTTGAAGTAAAGTTTGGTATCTGTTGGTCCCATCATGGGAACAAACTGATATCATTGCACTGAAAAAAAAAAGTTCGGTGATTTTTACCGAACTCTTCGGTGTACGGTTGTTCGGTGGCACAAACCTAGGTATTGGGTTTTTTGAACTAAACGGCATTACGGCGTTTGGAACACACGACCAACCGAGTTCAGTAAGGTTTTACCAAACTTTCGAGGTCACGGAAATCGATCATTCGGCTATTCGCACCGAACTTTCAGTATATATTCGGAGAAAGTCGGAAACGTTCGGTTGGCGTCTTATTATTGAATGTGTTGATCCATAGTTACGTTCAAAGACGATTTTCTTATTCTTGCCTTTATGGCCTTATTAATTTTTGAAATCCATGTTGATGTTTTTTCTGTGAGTAAATTTTCCTTTAGACTTTTTTTGATCTATTTTACTTTCGGAACTCATTTGTGCATTGAATAAAATTTTATTTACATCTGCGGCTTCTATTCAAAAGAATGTTGCTCAATTAAGATGGGACCAGGAAGTCATTATAAAAATTATTAAATAATATGACGAATTTATATTTATATTTATTATTTATATATACGAATTTATATTTTATATATCATATTATTAATATGATAAATCATAATATAATAAACATAATATAATGAATTATAATATATTATGATACATTATTAATAATATTATTCATTTTTCATTAATTTATATTATTTATTTATCTTATTCAGTTTTTAATATTTTCATTTTTAATAACTCTTTATCCGTCCATATTTTATTTTATTTTTTTCTTTCATGTGTTGTTCGTACTCCTCTCTTTCAAAAACTTGATCTACTTTATATTATTTTCGTATCCTTCATTGTGAATAACTGAATGATGTACAAAATTGCAAGAATATCATTGCTTCTAATCATTGAACCAGATCTGGGGACGTTTATTAGTGCTAAATTAGGCACCGTCCCCACGCGAGCATCCGTGGTGAAGTGGCAGCGACACTCGGGCGACCATCAAAGTTCAGCAACGTCGGGCGTAGTTGGTACTTCGATGGGTGACCGCTTGGGGACTCGGGCGCAGCGCGGCCTAATTCTGGCGAACATATTGAGTGTCAGGTTCTCTCGGCGTTACTTCTCTGGTGACTGCGATGAAATTTAAGCCTAAGAACGTGCAGCGCGCCGCAATTTAAGCATTCTGGCATTATGAAAATTTGTTTTTCAGTGTGTGAAATCATGTTGATATCATGGTGATAACATGTTGATATCATGGTGATAAAATGTTGATCTCATTTATGATAACAGGTTCCATTCACCATGTTGCTACCATGTTGGGCCAGACCATCTTGTTACCAACATGTTCATTTTTAGCAGGGGGACAGTAGATAACTTTGGGCAGCCTTAGCTGACCTAGAGCAAGAGAGCCTTAGTGCGTTTATTACAAGTTTATCGCCAAGTAGAAGTACCGATTACTCATTAGGTATGGCAATAATCAGATTTCTTAAAACAGCTGAAATCCAGCACCTCCCATTAGACTGGGAGAAAGACCTGAACTATTAGCCCAATTCAAAAAGCCGAAGCCTTCAGCAAGTATCTTGCCGAAGTGTTCAGACCTAATCCTGGACCTTCAGACCCTGAAGACCGAGTTGAACCAGAAAAGGAGATGACTAAGGTCGAGTGTGAGGCTCCAATTCCAATGGGCCCAATAAGGAAGTCAGAGATCGAGTATATTTAATTCAATACGAAATCAAAAATAAAAAAGCCCCGGGCATAAACGGAATAACCTCTGAAATTTTAAAACAATTACCGGATAAAGCTACAAAACAGGGAACTGATATTTATAACGCCATCCTCATATTCCGCCACTTTCCCCCGGAGTGGAAGAGGGCTGAGGTAGTCGGTTCACAAGACTGGAAAACCGGCAAATAATCTCTCATCTTTCCGCCCTATATCTTTATTATCATGTGTTGCCATAAATTATTCGAAACATGTTACCTAAAAAGAATAGGTACTTAACCAAAATTCTCGATGAAAGAAAATTAAATTGCTTACTTAAAAATTGTGTACGTAAAGGTACGACACGTTTCAATGTATAGATTTTACCATTAAAAATACGAATTAGCTTTCCACTATTGTAAAATGTAAATTTGAAACGTGTTGGACATATTTTTTAACAATTTAATTTCTATATCAGCGATTCATTTTTTTCCATTCATACAGTTTTCCTGAAAAAAGTTGCATTAATATAATTCCTTTGTAAATCGCAGATTTAAGTCGAATAATGGCTTCATCACGCAATTATGAAGAGCAACTTTACGTCTGGCAAGCGTGGCATGATGCCATTGGACCGGCGGTAAAAGCCAATTATGAACAATATGTGGAGCTCGCAAACGCGGCAGCAAAGCTGAGTGGTGAGTATCCGTAACGTTTAATCGAATCATCAATTCGGAACTACAAACTTTCTGCTAGGGGTGGGGTAAACATCAAATAAAGGGAGCCTGGGAGGTCCTTAAAGGCACATCTTTTGTCTTTGTGGAACCCTTCAAGCTCAAAATCCAGAGGATCTCCAGTACAATTATATTTTGAGCTATATTCTCGTGTTCCCACCGCAAAATTGATTGAATTTGAATTTCGAAGATGAAGCATACCTGTGTCACAAACTTATTTAGCAAAATCTTTCATACTTCTTGAGAATTTTCCTTGAAAATTTCATGTTCCTTGAGAGCAGGGAAAACGCAGATCGGGGGGGGGGGGGGGGGGAGGGGACTCCTTAGAGCCACTCATGATTCGGATAATTTAAATATAGAGAATAACTTCATTGATCTGTAATTTATTTAACTATCCAACCTCTATAAAGCTGGGAGCAATGTTGCAGGAAATATTTTTCTCGCAATCAAGCTATACGTAACATGATTACGACGTTCAATGCTACAATAATGTTTAAGATCATTCATAAAAAGAGGGTAGGTAATTATAATGATAGGAAAAATGTTTTCAGAGGTATTGATTAGGTCCTAAGATATAATAATAGGTACCTACCTGCACCAGAATATATCAGGTAGAAAAATGTAAATCCCGTGCCTAATCATTCGGAAACCCCTCGCTCAAGAATACCCGAACACGCACGGAGAAACCACCACGGTATGGCCTCAAGTAATCTCATAGTCTGAAGTGGAACTAATTTAAAGTTACCTACTTTTACATACGATTAAAAATTAAGCTAATCGTAAATAAGAAAACCCGACCAATGAAAAACAAGGTGGTAGAAAAGTGCTGTATCCACACTATTCTGCGGAGAAAGCAAGGTAAAAAAGATGAAGGCCGGTAAAAAATTTGAGCTCCAATGAGTACCAGTGCAAGACTCAGGGAAAAGAGGGTTTAGCTCAGGCAGGTGGACTAGAAGACTAAGTTGAGGTCACTCGAAGGGATCCATATGACGTTTAAGGTCGTTTCAGATCTCATCAGTAGATCTAACTCTTCAGTGGTAAGTCCAAATCCCACAAAATCCGAGACGGCATAATGGTCAAGGCGCGAGACCTGACACAAGAGTGCGATCCTTGCGTCATCTGTCGTCGCTGCTAAACAACTTGCACGACAAAACATCATCATTTTGACGTATAAACAAGACAATTACTATTTATTTTGGGGTTTCCTTGTTTCGTCCTGAAAGTTGTTCAGCAGCGACGGCAGGTAGATGCCGCGAGATCGCCTCATGGTTTTAGGTAGGTATGTCTTCATACCTACCTATTATGTGCAACATTCATTCAGATTTTACGACACAACTCCGATGTAAAACCACGGAAAGACGATTAACAAACTTAACCACATCATTTATTAACAGGAATTTTACTGAAATTAAAGGTCATGGAGAATTGTCTGGGGGGTTTTATGTACCTAGGTAACAAAAGCATTAAAACAGGGGGGTTGTTTGTCGTCAACATTACTTAAAATATATCTTGAGTAGGTATGTGATCAAAGAATGGAAAACGAAATGTTCTCGGATTGGTGCCTCCTTGGGTGATTTTGAAACTCTCTTTACTCTAAGCTTTGCTGATGATCAGGTAGGTGGTGATTGCACAAGATCAGGATGACTATATGGTGCGTAAGTTAGCAGAGGAGTACCTATCGAAAGTGAGGTTTGGAAGTCAGTATACATCCAAATCCGAGAAACTGACTTTGCCCAAGTAGCAGTGATCGCGATAAACAGCAATTTTATCGGTAAGTTATTGCGATTATCTCGATGGCAACACATCGAGATACATCGCATTAAAAATCGTGATATATGGCGATTACATCGCTACACATTGCAATTTTTGGTTAGGTAAAACCGCGATCCATTTTCGTCGATAAAATCGATATTAAATCGCCATTTATCGCGATTTTTATTTCGAAAATATCGCAATACATTGTTGGGCGATAAAAGCGCGATTTCATATCGCGATAAGATCGAGGATAATCGCTCGGATGTTGATGATTTTGGCAATTTTATAGCCGATAAAATCGCAGTAATTGCGGATTTTCAAAGAAAACAAGAGGACAATTTACAATGCCGTAGTCAAAAGTAGGTATACTCAGGTAGGTACACCTACTTATGGATGTGAAATTCGGCAGCTAAGGAAACGGACAAAGGGTATGCTAAGAGCAACGGAGACGGATTTCTGGAGACGGTCGGCTGGGATTTCTTGAGGAGATCGCGTCCCCAAAGATAAAGTGCGTCAGATCATGGGAGTCGAAAATGACATCGTATTTGACGTCATGACCAAACAGCTTGTCTCATATGGTCATGTTAACAGGATGACGGAAGAAAGGCTGCGGAAGAAGATACTTGATTGGGTTCCTCTTGGAGTCCTAAGAGGAGACAAAGGGGACGCCTAGTGAAAGGGTGGCGACAAGGAGTTTTATAGGAAATGGATGAGTTCGGATTCCCACAAGGACTTTGGGAGGGTAGGGGACTTTGGCGGCTGGCTGTCGCAGAGCGCCAAAGAGCGCTATGAAAGCGGCTATGTGTATGTAACCACACCAAAGTGACATCATACTAATGTCTGAATGGTTAAAATGATGTCAGAGTGATAGCAGAGTGACGTCAGACTGATATCAGAGTGACATTTTGATGATTTGTTCCATTGTTGTGCTGTTTCAAAAACGAGGTCATTATGTTCCACTTTTACCAGGGAACGCCGCCAGCCGCCATGGACATGACGCGAGATCCTATCCCAACCCAAGTAGCAGAGGTTGAAAAAACTTGCAACAAAATCGTTGAATTCTTGCAACTGATAGATTGACGAGTAGATTGCCTACTCTTTCCCCCGAAGGAGCTATCATTGTTGGAACTTGTTGCAATAAGTTGTAACATGTTCCAACTTCAATATTGTTCCCGGTCCTTACATTTGGCTAAAATTTGAATATCGCGGCCTTCTTCGCAAACTGGTAAGGACGTCACGTGACTGGTCTTTACTTAATATAATAAGTATAATTTAATAAATTATAATATACAGGGTTATTCAAAAGCTACGCACCACTGGCCATAACTTTAGTTCTAATTACAATATCGATTTGCGGTTTGTGGCGTCCTTCCTCATATCGAGGGGGAAACTTTTTGAGGTACTTTTCAGTTCTTCACCCCCCCCCCC